GGGTCTCATTTAGGCTTTGAGAAGTGCAGCTGGTACCACAACACCGCCAGGAAAGAGAGAGAGAGAGAGAGAGAGAGAGAGAGAGAGAGAGAGAGAGAGAGAGGGAGACGCAGAGCGATCGAGCGAGCAAAAATGGAGAGAAAAAAAAACCTAGAGCAGAGCGGGTTTGTTTTATTTATTGCAAAAAAACTTGCAGTTTGTAAAAACAAGGCTGACACGGAGGCTGACACCAGGCAGGGGAAAATAATTAGCTCTCATTTTCTCAGACTCCTGTTTCCTTCTTCCCGCTGAGCTTCCTCCCAACCAAACCACCACATGTCAGAGAAATAGGAGGCAATTAGCGGCCCCGCTTCAGCCCCGCCGCATGCCTTGAAAAGGGACTATTTATGATGGGACAATGAACAGCTGAAAGATTAAATAACATTTGCCTTTTAAAAAGAAAATGACTTCTGGCAAAATTTTTGATTAAATTCAAACGGCAAGTGAAGATGCAGTCGCTCTCCTGTGTCAGGGGCCCAAACAAAGGCTCGCCGGCAAGAGGGGGTGGATGCTATGCATCGTCTTGGATGAAAAATTATTTATCTCTCGCGGCCCTTTTTAAGAGAACAAAAAAGAGGAACAAAAACAAGAGGCTTGGGAATGGAAAATGCGTGAGCGAGACGGTGGTCAGTCTTCGGAGGAGGCCGATAACAGGCATCTTTTACTTGAGGAAGACAACTTCAAATCAAGGAGCACAGCAAATGTGACAAACCATCTCAGTTATCACGTCTCCAACAAAAGCCCCCTGTTAACACGGCAGATGATACACAGACCGAGATGCAAAAATGATGATGGTAAACAACAAAGAAATCTTAGGGCTTAAAGAGAACCACAAACAATGCAATTACTTTTTTAAGTGATCGGACATGAGCCAATGACAAGAGAAAATCTTTTATTTCTTGGAAATGTAATCATCTTGGTGCCATTTCCAATTTAAAATGTGGTGTAAACATCAATTTCATGAATGCATGTGATTGTCCACATCTCATTAATTTCCAAAAAGTTTTAAAATATATTTCAAGTTATTTATTAATTTATTTTTACAAATATCAAATCATTTTTTTAACTTAGGAACGTCAAAGTTTTTGGGGGAGTCGCACCGCATTACATTTTTCAACCTGAACTAACGCTGCCTTGTCATAAAATGTGTTTTAAGAGACATATAATTTTCTTTTTTCTTTTTTTTTCTGCATACCTCTGCATGTTAGTTGGACCACATGACTATGATTTGACTTTTGAAATGTTTCAAAATTGAAAGTTTGAAGTTTTTAAAATGTTAATAAGCAGTGAATCAGTTTTGATAAGTATAAGTTATAAAATAAAAGAAATTAAATTAAAATATAAAGCATTACTTATTTTCTATATTGTTTTTTTATGCCTTAGTACTTAATAAGGTTTTCTTAATAAGCCTTTTTCTTCATTATTGATTTCAGGGCAGTTGTATCACCCTAACATCACAATAAAATTGAATGCAGAAATTAAACAGCATTTCTGAAGTATTTTTGAATTAATTAATAGATATGACAAAAACTATGCATTACGTCACTGGTAACCGCCTACAAAACCCTGGCAACCACTCAAAACACTCAACTGCATAACAGCATCTTGTGAGCAACATAATAAAATGACGCCAAAACCAAAGATCACATGGATTCAGTTTTGTTTCATAGATTAATCAGTAACTATGACACACATGATATGCAGTGTTGTAATTTACCGTTTGGCCTGTGCCTGCTTTCCAGTGATATCCAAACACCAACTCCAGATTCACAGTCTTCCTCCACTCCTCCTCTGCTTCCTCCGTGGCCAAATCATCCTGAGAGAGGATGTACAAGGAAATACATTAGCTGTGACCATGACCGATGAGGATTCAGCTAAAGCAGCGTAGAGATTATTCAAATGCAAATTCATGTCAACTCTGATGTAAAAGAAGAACTAGAACGCGATGAAACCACAAAGACCACATGCCTTGATCAATGGAGGAAAGTGGAACAGGTTCAGGTAGTCGTGGGTAAGTTTCTCAATTTCGGTCTGAAAAAGAAAGATTTGACATAATGTTTAAAACACCAGGGATTTATGCAGTGCACTGACAATCAGCCAATGACCAGCTGTGTGTGAATGTAACGTAATTATTACCTGTTAATGGACTTTAAGCAGCAAAACAACAATTAATACCATTGTGTATCACTTATGAACATATAATTCGTGCTCTGGCATATGTCATATACATCTAGAGTAATCCATTCAACAAATCAGGCTCTCTATGGAGCACGCACACGAATGCCTTACACAATCAGACGTGTGCTATCCCAGACCCAGAGGAAGAAAAAATTTTTCTCAGAGGTTGCTCTTTCAAAGCATAGCATATGATATAATGGAGTTTCATTTTAGTACAAACGCTGTCACGGATATTTCTAGAATTCCTTGGCGGAAATAAAAAAAAAAGTCCAAGACACAGATCAGTTGATTGTTGAAATCTAGTATTAAGCTCCAAAACGAACGTGGCATCTTCATATGAGTTCATATTGGGATCTTGACTTTTCTGAGCACAGTTTGAGCTTTGTTGAGAAACTAGAGGATATACAGGTGCATCTCAATAAATTAGAATGTCATGGAAAAGTTCATTTATTTCAGTAATTCAACTCAAATTGTGAAACTCGTGTATTAAATAAATTCAATGCACACAGACTGAAGTAGTTTAAGTCTTTGGTTCTTTTAATTGTGATGATTTTGGCTCACATT